CTTGGAGGCTACCTGGCTTACCGGAAAATTAACGAGCTGTCGAGGAATATTGGCCTGATCCCAGAGCTCAGAGATGGTTTGCACCGCGCTGTGAATTCACAGACTCAAATAAATGTTGAGATGAATCGTAACCTTGGAGCTTTGGCCAAGATTCATTATTGGCACAAAAGATGGATGCCATCAAGGAGCGAGTGGACGAATCAGCACGGATTGGGATAGATTAATGTCCATTATTGGGATTTTGAGAGGTTGAGGACCAACAAACTGTAAGACAGAGAGGAAATTATCTCTGTCTGGCCCCAAAACAATTTCTAATCGGAATCTGGCGCCCTTGAGCCTGCAAGGCTCCAATGAAAATTCCCCCCTCAGAAGATATGTGGAATGTGCCGTTGCAATGGCAACTCAACTCTGTCTCCTTTCCCAGCCTGGGCGGGACTGCAGGAAGGCCACTGAATCGTTCCAGGGTCACTGCAACCCTCCAACCCTCAATGCTCCTCCCCCTATCCACACTGAGGTGACATGCGCTGCTTATCGTGGCTGCAGGAACTGAAGTGGGGATAGTCCCAACCCACCACCCCACCTAGTGGACACTTATGTTGTGTAATGTCTGAAGTCTGTTGCATATCTGTCTGAGGTGTTTTTTTAAAGAGCGAAGCTGCCCTCCTGGTGGAGGGTAACTCTGAAATGTCTTTTTTTTCCTCCACCTGAACCAATCCTCATGCAACCCTCTTATCTCTATTAAGGTAGTGCGACTCAGGGTTGCGAATGACCACAGTCACCAATTCTTGTCATGTGTCTTGCCCATGTATGTCTGACCTCTGAATTGTGTGTACTGAAACTCTAATTTCCCTCTGGAATTAATAAAGTATCTTTGATTTGATTTGATATTGTACCTTTAATTAATCACTTGTAAATCATAATTTAACCATAAAGAGTTAGAGGAGTTGTAGGAGAGTTATGAGAGTTGTGATCACAGTAAAAAGCAAAAAACAGAAGAAATTTATAAGAAGCTGAAACATTTCATGACTGTGAGTGTTGCTGCTGGATGAAGTTAATCTAGAAGAAGTGATGGAGAGAAAAAAAAGAGCCAATCTGAAGGTGAAGGAGGGGAGGAAGAGACGATGAGAGAGTGGAAAAAGACATGGAGATGGACAGACAGATAGACGAGGACGATGAAGACTGGACTGACTCCATCCAAGATAACAGATCGCTATGGCGACCTGCCTGTCAGTCAGTCTGTCAGCCACATCCATTCCTGGCCCCATTACTGCACTCTACCTCAGCCGGACGCACACAATGGACCCTCTGTGTGTGAGTACATGTGTGTGTCCTCACACACAGGATCATTAACAGGTAACCAAGCAGACCCCCCATCTCCTTCTCATCTTTTGACCCATGTATGAGTGACACTGGAGCCCCAGCGGCTCACCAGCCCTCCCATAGACATCACAGTGACACAAGGCTCTTTTTGATTGCGTGCAGTAGAGAATATGTTGGGGTCATGCAGCAATATGAGGTTCATTTCTTTTCTTTATTATTTTATGTACATTTTAAATAAATCCTTTTTAAACGTAATTTAGCTGTGGTCTCTATTATGAATGAAAGCCTTTCTGTGAAAAAAGCTCTGGAGCTCCTGTTTCAAGAGTATAAGTTGGTCGGATGAGTAGAGGGCAGAAAACGGCAGGATTATTAGGCTTTCTCATCAATATTTATGACATGCAAATGTAACACATCTGATTGGCTAACAGGAACCTGACTCTTCTGCTGCCTCCATTTGCTCAACAACATTAATGTTTTATCTCTACACAAATAACACAAGCCTAAAGGGGTTCTGCCATGTTGTGGATGTGGATTTGCTCAAACCACCAAATAGTTCCCTAGCGGAGCCCCAGCTGCAGCTCACCACTCCCCACGGAGATGGGTCAATTGCGGAGATGAATTTCACCAGTGTGTGATGAATTAATGGGACTTTAACTTTACTATTGGTCCCTCTGAGTTTTTCATGCAGGCTGAACATGAAAATAGTCTCCTACACCTATCTCCCGCATTAGCTTCTGACAGAAAATAGATGGTGAAACTAGGATTTGAAATGCCTGACAGATCTACGTCACACTGTCACTGAACATTCATGAACCCATCTTGAGTCACAATGAGGACGGCTGTTCCTGGTTTAGCTTCCAGGAATCAGCAAAGAACAACCAGATTAGTATAAGTTAACCATTAGCTTTAGCAACTTAACCATACAGCAGAATCCTCTAGGTTTGTGTTATTTGTGGAGATAAAACATCTATGATGCAGGTCAGTGGTAGAGATCCGACGCACTTACACAATCTGAGGCGAGATGTCCAAAAATCAGGAATTAGGCTCCAAATCCTGTCTTCTGAAGCTCAGCTATGATGTGGGTAACTACTAGTTCCTGGAAATGGTACACCAGTTAATTTACCTCCCGAAAGAGACTTAAGCCTGGGACACACCGGAGGCGGACGCGCCCAAGATTTTGAGAAGTCAAGTGGTCACACATGACGTACCGCTGAGTGCTTCTTGGAAAGTCGCGTGATAGTCACAACATCACACGGGACTTGAGAACAAAAAGCGGGAAGTGACTCTATTGTTTATACATGATCAGACTTGCCATCGTGTTTTGTGAGACTCTAATTCATAAAAAATGGGTAAGGACACTGTTTTTTAAAATATTTTAAGATCAATAGTACTTTAAAGTTATCAAAACTGCTGTTAGATTTGTGCCGCAAAGTAGTCTGTTGTAAAGTACTCCACGCATGAGATAAAACCAGCGCCTATCTTCAGCGCCTCTGCGCGGCGCTTCTGTGTGCCCACTCTCATTAACTATAGTGGCTTCTATTTAAAATGACGGCGCATCGCAGCGCGTCCGCCTCCGGTGTGCCCCAGGCTTTACAAGGCATTCTTTCCAACTAGAGACCACTGCAAATATATTGATTAAACGAGCGAACCACACCTTTAACCTTAAACATGTAACATGATTAATGTTTCACTAAAAATCTCAAAATCATCTGACACCGCCATACAAAAACTGAAACTTTTTTTTGTTTGCACAAGTTAATACAGAACGCTGATTAAATCACAAGTATAACGTCGGTACTTGACTGTGAAGCATTAATGCTAAAGGGCAAAAAAGGGCTTTTCAGGAGATAAACAAAGGTGAAATTCAATGAAGCTTGAATCCTGAATGTGTGTAAGTTTATGAGAGTGTGTATGCAGGGTGGAGTGTGTGTGTGTGTGGGGGGTGGGGGGGAGGTGACATGTGAGTGTGTGTAGTGGGGGTTAAAGTAGAGATGAAAGGGCGGCCATTGCCTGCTGATGACTGATAGCATTCACCAGGGCTTTGGCTGATGTCTACTCTGATAACACAGAGGACAGCTTGGTTGGTCTTCAGGAAGCGGGGGACCTGAGAGCAGCCAATCAGGAGCCAGTAAAACCACCCAAAACTAGCTGGGTTTATCGTGTGTACGTAACTCGTGATATTAGCGAGTCGAAAACTCAGAAGGGCTTTGGCCGAGCTCTTCAAAACCGACAACCTGCATGTGGGCAGTAAAGTTCATCTGGTTCTGGGCTACAGTTGTCACTGAAGCTATTTTTAAATTCTTTCCTACTTCACTTCCATCAGAGGAGTAATAGGAGCAATGTCCCATCTCCTCTGTTTCTCGTAACCCTTAAAATATCCTCAATCAGGAAAATATTTAAAATGTTAAAGCATGAGGTATAGCTAATGCTAATGTGGGCAATAAATAAACATTGTAAATGAACAGAGTGATGCATCTGTTTATGTAGAAGGAATCTGTGGTACTGATGGAGCAGCTGGTTGCAAATGTGTCCCAAGTGGAACATTCTAGCAACCGCCTCTAGCAATGATGAATATCATACAAAAGAGGACGGGGTAACACTTAGAAATGGTATCCAGCCTAAATGGTCCAGGGTGACAGGTGAACTAGGGCTTAATTGGGACTTGAGGTGATTTAGGTGATTTTTGGGAATCTTTATAATGTTATTGGTTAGTAACTAGGATCTGAGTGAGTAACATTTTATGAAATCTTTGCTGTTGGTGGTATTTGGATCTGTAAGCAGGGTAAACATGTCAGGACTCTTCTCTGAAATATGCACGCTTATGTGTGACAGGATTATTACCATCTGGGAAAATATTTTTCATAGTTTTTGTAGTCATGTAAACAAATCTTTCCCCAAAAAAAAACCCATTTCTTTTCACTTCATTTTGAACTTTTTAGCTAAATTCTGGAGGAGATTAAATGCAAGAAATCCAGCATCTCTGCAGGAGGTCGTAAAAAAACATCTAAATACCACAACTTCTTTGGTCAATGTCAAAGTAGGGACACAGAAAAGCCCCGCTGGTCCATTCTCACCCACCTAAACAAAAACCTCTACAATGGCAAAGAGGTGGGGACAGGGGGACGAGGGGGGTCAAAGGGCACATGTTCCCAGAAAGACTCTTCGCCCGGTGTTTTGTAGTTTGGTTTAACAACCGGGCCAGGGCTAAACAGCATGACAACAGGCATGTCTGTAAAAACAAACAATCCCCACTTTGTGTTTCACTGCGAGTTTGCTGAAAATCTTTGGAGAACAGCAAAGAGCTGCATTTTATGGTGCACTCTGCGAGTAACTTGGTTTTTACAACTAAAGCTCCTGTGGGCCTGAGAAAATGCGCTGCTATATGTGTTTAAAAACAAAATCAAATGCATCCAGTTCTGCAGTTTGTAGAGGTGTTGAGCTGATCGATGCTATCATTCACAGAGATGAAACAAAATGCCACCAGAACCTTGAATTTATGATTAATGACACACAGAGCTCTCCGCTGCACAAACATTATTATCTCGTGTAAGGGGTTCAGTTGATTCAGTTCCTGAAGCAGCAGTTAAAGAACAAACAGAGGAGGGATGTCGACGCTGCTGATAACTCTCAAAGCAAACATTTGCAACTTCATTGAGGAGGAGGAGGAAAACGGTTCCTACCAGGCAGACACAGGTGATGCAGGGGTTGTCGGTGATGTTGGGGATGTGCAGAACTTCTCCTTCATTATCACAGCTGGCTTCAGTGCCTGCAAACGACAGGAGGACGAGGCAGAATTAATGCACAGAATAGGGTTCTGCATTCCGTCTCTGACCAGTCAGATGAAGAATAAACACTTAAAACGCTGGTTAAGAGAGGCTTTTCTGGAGCATTTCTGACACATTGAGATCACATGATGGCAACCAATGAATAAAAAATCACCTCTGAAATGTAGAATCCTGGAAAAAAAACCTCATCCAATCATTGTGAACATCCCGTTCTTAATAACTGGGTCCTGATCCATCCATCATACTACCCTATGACCTTCCCTCCCCTCTCTGCAGATACCCCTCTTGGTGCACAAATCGTGCGTTCTTGGCTTGGAGCAGCTAAACAGGAAGTGAAAACAGAGCCGGGGTAGCTATTTTAGCTACAGTTACAGTAGCGTTACATTATGAATAATGTGAGACCATGGATAGAAAAGGTAAGCCAAGGTTGGGTTTTTATGGTTATTTGACAATATCTGTTGCATCTGGGGGCGTGGCCTATGAGGAGGAGACTGGCGAAATGGGGTTGGACCTTTAAATAGTGCTTTTTAAAAATAAAGTTTGCTAGAAGAGCTTTTGAGTTTTTTTTACTAAGCTAAACAGACAGACACTTGTTGATGCTAAAATCAGGTGCACATTAATATTTTCTCTTTTATTCTCTTGAACTTTTCTTCCTTATCTTCATTCGTCCAGGTAAAAGTACCGACATTTAAACCCAGGTCTTAAAAACATGAGTCAGTCAGTTTGTTACGAGTGCAAAACGTAATCTGAACCGACGACAGGAAACGACCCCAAAACACAAGGGTTTATGGGTAAAAGCAGACAGATGTCAACATCTCTGAGCCAGCAGTTCCTGCTGTTCTGCAGAGCGATGAAATGTGCTCCAGACGGACGCTCCGATGTTTACTCGTGCGTCGGATCGGTTTAACACCCCACGGTGATGCTGATGGGAAAAATATTATTGCATGGCAGCAAGTCCATGCATGGGCGCAGATGTGGAATAGATATTAGGATGGTGCTGCAAATTTATTCCTGTTTATCCAAGTTTTCCTGCAATAGATCACACAGCATGAGGAGAGGGAGACGTCACTTTGTTTCTGGGGAAAACTGAAGAAAATCCTTTTTGCTGTCCTTGTAACGGGGATGACTCAAAAACTAAAGGTGTTAATTACAAATCCACCTGAAGCCATGTTGGCTCTCAGGTTGATGAAGAGGACACCTTCCATCCATCCATCCATCCATCCATCCATTTTCATCTGCTTATCCGGAGTCGGGTCACGGGGGCAGTAGCCTAAGGCGAGAGGCCCAGACTTCCCTCTCCTCAGCCACTTGGGCCAGCTCCTCCGGGGAAATCCCAAGGCGTTCCCTGGCCAGGTGAGAGACATAGTCCGTCCACCGTGTCCTGGGTCTACCTTTAGGTCTCCTCCTGGTTGGACGTGCTCGGAAAACCTCACCAGGGATGCATCCAGGGGGCATCCTGACCAGATGCCCGAGCCACCTCAACTGGCTCCTCTCGATGTGGAGGAGCAGCGGGTCTACTCTCAACCCCTCCCGAATGACTGAGCTTCTCACCCTATCTCTAAGGGAGAGCCCAGCCACTCTTCGGGGAAACTCATTTCGACCGCTTGTATCCGCAATCTCGTTCTTTCGGTCACTACCCAAAGCTCATGACCATAGGTGAGGGTAGGAACGTAGATCGACCGGTAAATCGAGTTTCACCTTCTGACTCAGCTCTCTCTTCACCACGACAGACCGGTACAAAGCCCGCATCACTGCATCACCAATCCACCTGTCCATCTCACGCTCCAGTTTTCCCTCATTCGTGAACAAGACCCCGAGATACTTAAACTCCTCCACTTGGGGCAGGACCTCATCCCTGACCCGGAGAAGGCATTCTACCCTTTTCTGAATCAAGTCCATGTTCTCAGATTTAGAGGAGTTGATTCTCATCCCAGCTGCTTCACACTCGGCTGCGAACCGCTCCAGCGAAAGCTGAACATCACGTTCTGATGAAGCCAACAGGACCACATCATCTGCAAAAAGCAGAGACCTGATCCTCAGGCCACCAAAACGGATGCCCTCCACACCTTGGCTGCGCCTAGAAATCCTGTCCATAAAGGTTATGAACAGAATCGGTGACAAAGGGCAGCCTTGGCGGAGTCCAACTCTCACTTGGAATGAGCCCAACGTACTGCCGGCAATGCGGACCAAGCTTTGACACCAGTCATACAGGGACCTAGCAGCCCGTATCAGAGGGCCTGGTACACCATACTCCCGGAGTACCCCCCACAGGGCCCCCTGAGGGACGTGGTCATACGCCTTCTCCAAATCCACAAAACACATGTAGAATGGTTGGGCAAATTCCCACACACCCTCCAGGATCCCCCTAAGGGTATAGAGCTGGTCCAGTGTTCCACAGCCGGCGACGAAAACCACATTGCTCCTCCTGAATCTGAGGTTCAACAATCCGATGGACCCTCCTCTCCAGAACCCCTGAATAGACCTTACCAGGAAGGCTCAGGAGTGTGATCCCCCTGTAGTTAGAACACACCCTGCGGCCCCCCTTTTTAAATAAGGGGACCACCACCCCGGTCTGCCAGTTCAGTGGGACTGCCCCGATGTCCACGCAATATTGCAGAGCCGCGTCAGCCAACACAGCCCCACAACATCCAGAGCCTTAAGGAACTCCGGGCGGAACTCATCCACCCCCTGGAGCCTTGCCACAGAGGACCTTTTTAACCACCTCAGTGACCTCAGCACCAGAGATTTGAGAGGCCAACCCAAAGTCCCCACACTCTGCTTCCTCATAGGAAGACGTGTCGGTGGGATTGAGGAGGTCTTCGAAGTATTCTGCCCACGGATCCGCAATGTCCTGAGTAGAGGTCATCAGCACACCGTCCCCACTATAGATAGTGTTGGTAGCGCACTGCTTTCACCCCCTGAGGCACCGGATGGTGGACCAGAATCTCCTCGAAGCCGTACGGAAGTCTTGCTCCATGGTCTCACCGAACTCCTCCCATGCCCAGGTTTTTGCCTTGGCGACCGCGTTTCGCTTGGACTGCCTGTACCCGTCAGTTGCCTCTGGAGTCCCACAGGCCAAAAAGACCTGACAGGACTCTTTCTTCAGCTTGACAGCATCCCTAGCTGCCGGTGTCCACCAGCGGGTTTGGGGGTTGCCACCACGACAGGCACCAACGATCCTGCGACCACAGCTCTGGTCGGCCGCCTCAACAATGGAGGCACGGAACAGGGTCCATTTAGACTCAATATCCCCCGCCTCCCCCGGAACATTTTGGAAGTTCTGTCGGAGGTGGGAATTGAAGCTCCTTCTGACGGGAGACTCTGTCAGACGTTCCCAGCAGACCCTCGTGATACATTTGGGCCTGCCTGGTCTGACTGGCATCCTCCCCCACCATCTGAGCCAACTCACCACCAGGTAGTGGTCAGTTGACAGCTCCGCTCCTCTCTTCACCCGAGTGTCGAAGACATGCGGCCACAGGCCAGACGAAACAACAACAAAGTCGATCATCGAGCTGCGGCCTAAGGTATCCTGGTGCCAAGAGCACATATGGACACCTTTATGTCTGAACATGGTGTTCATTACGGACAATCCATGACTGGCACAGAAGTCCAATAACAAAACACCACTCGAATTCAGATCAGGGGGACCATTCCTCCCAACCACACCTCTCCAGGTCTCACTGTCATTGCCCACCTGAGCGTTAAAGTCCCCCGGCAGAACGAGGGAGTCAAGAGGACACCTTGTCCCATCATAAACAACTAAAGTCCGGAGGATCTTTATTCCATTGTTTCAGAAAGGCAATAACTTCTAATCCATCCTTTTTTATATAGTTCATCTGTGTATTTCACTCATCAGTCAATAACTTTAATTCCACTTGAATTTGGAGACGGTTCTTATACAAAAGTCGCCTCAGTGCATCCTTGATGTTGCCAAGCCCAACACTGAGGTGGCAAATGAATCACTTCATTCTCATCAATATTACCAAGATTGCCTCATTTAATTTTCAAAACCGAAGTAGGGAGTATTTGGAAATAATTTCCCTCCACTGACTGAACCATTCAAGTAATAAATAATTTCCTGTTTTTTATTTGTGCCATCTAAAATAACTCCTCATTGATCCAATGTTTGTCCATTCTCTAGACTTAATCTTGGAGCTCCTCAGGGTTTTGTGCTTGGATTAAAACTTTATTTATGCTTCTAACTTTGTCCTCCTTGTGTATCATTTAGTATTGTCTATTCCCTGTCTGTTCAGAACCCAGACAGTCAAAGCTTAAGGTCCACCCTGGTTCTGGTGAAGGTTTCGCCCTGTTAAAGGGTTCTTCTTGTTTAACATGTTTGAGATGAACAGTTGTTATATAAATGACTCGGTATTGATCTAAGAACTATTGCTCAACTGTAAAGGACGTTGATATGGACTCATGATGTAAATGTGGATTTAAATTGAAAGAAATTTAAAGCCACATGGGTCAATTCGATTTCTTTTATCAGTGTACGGTTATCCCTGACCTGATTGGTTTGTCGATAGGTCAACATGGATTAACCATTTTTTAACCTAGTTTCCCAACTCAAAACTGCAGACCTTTGGTGATATTTAAAGTCTAAAGAGCAGCTTTTTCTTGCTGGTTCAGCACTGCTGTTCCACCAGCAGTAAAAACATCAAAAAGCTTCATAACTTTGCAGCAGTTCTGCCAACTAAATCAGGACATTAAATAAAAAACTCCTCACAGGTGTTGCTCTAATACCGATACTGGCTGAAATTTACAGAAAACCTTCAGGTCCATGATGGCGTAAACCTGACGAATGGAAGATAAATCTCAGTAGCAGCGGGTTGTGTCGTCTAAGTTTAGCAGTAAACCAGCTTGTGGATTCGAACCTTGCCGACTCCACCACCGCCGTAAAATTTACAACCTTCGAGAGTAATTAAACTGGCAGGGCGAGAAGCTGTTTGTCTCATTCTCATAGATTTGTTCAACAACTTGTTTATTGTTTATCCAAACTCACAAAATATATTCTCTAATCTTTGTTCAATCAGGGTATCCTTGAAGATTAAAATCCCAACATCCCTCTAACTGGTTTTGTTTCTCTTTCATCCTAAATCCACTAGTTTCATACAAACCAACTCAGGAAAATCATTTAGATTTCTCACGTGAGTAAAAGTATGAATCCTTCATTTATGGGGTTCCTTTCAGTTAAAAAAGTACATACGCACAATTTTGTTCTTAAATATTTACACGTTAAATTTGTTTTTCTTTTCTTGATTTGGAGGTATATCCTGTCAAAACAGAGTCGGCATGTTAAATAGTGTTTTCTGTTTAAAGTAACCAGTGAAAATACACAAAATCTATCTCAAATATCCTGGGCCTGTGAATAACAAGAGCTCTTTTGTAGGCAACGACATAACTGGTGAGAACTGCTGCTTTTAGTACTTCATAGGAATTATAGATATGTAGAATTTAGTGAACATTGGTAAAAGAACCTTTGTTTAGTGTATTTTGGGATATTTGTCAGTCACATTTTCAGTTCTCTGACTGATCAGATATAGACAAGATGAGGATGTTAGTTTCCTGTAAATGATCCTTTGTAACTTCCTTCGGGGGCAAAGGTGAACAACTGAATGTGTTGAATGTACATTTTAAGAGATGAAAAATTAAAGTTGACTTAAACCAGAAGTGATGCTTTACGGTCAGTATAAACAGCTTTAGACCTCCACCACCACCTGCTGCTCTGACAGTACACTCCTCAGAAGTTTCCTGATCTGTTCTTCCAGGAGAATGAATCCCATCTGCTGGGGTTCGGGTGAGTAGTCTCTCCAGCACCGATGCACGTGTTTGACATCAATCTGCTTTTGCCTCCCATCAAATGTTTCAATTAAAAAGCCGGAATTAACCCTCACATAAACAATCCGTTCTGCTTTTTATTCCCCTCATGTTTAGATCTGTGTCTCCAAATCATCACTTGTCAATGAGAGTTGCCGTAGTCATGGCAACACCACAAACAACTAATTAGGAGACACAAACAAACAAGCTCTAATTGAATCTGGTGAATTTGGTCAGTGAAACGCAGCGTAAAGACGCAAGGACATCATCAGTTCTTTCATCCTTCCCTAACGAACGATTTCCCAACAAGGATGTCAACAAAAATCAGCAAACTTGGGAGAGGGAGCGCGTTTGATGCATGAAATCCGAACAGGATGGAGGGCAGAGCAGCGCTGGTAAACCAAAGCTGGTTAAAGAAAACGTCCAATGCTAAAAACACTCTGATGAGATTATTTTATTCATGAACGCCTCAGAAACCCAAATCACTGGGTTTGATTTAAAATAAGAAATCACTTAAACATGTTCTGCAGCAAAAAAAGACATCAGATTATGTGAATATCATCAAATGTGTGCTAAACTACAACAATCCCACAGATTAAATCAATTCTGCTAATTAAATCTAGGCGTTTACTTTTTATCTCAGTTCAGAAAAATGATCTGTATATTTTACATGAACTAAAAACAAATTGCATTAATATCATAACAAATGAAATAGATAGGGGTTATCTTTCATGTGTTTACTTGTTTTCTGGTGATTTTGCGCAGAATTTAAACGATCCGAAGGTGATTTGGCGCAGGATTCCAAAAGGAGCCAAAAGAGCGCATGAGACGCGGCGGCAGACTGAACAACCGGCGGTTTGAGGAGATTTTACGCACGGTGGGAGTTTGTGATGTGTTATTATCATCCCTTTAATCTTACCTGTAATTAGCGCAGAGGAAGAGTGGGGTGTTTGTAGCAGCCACAAAAAGCAGCAGAAAACCCTACAGGTGGACCAGGAGGAAGGCTTCAGGCTGCGGGGAAACATTCTCCAGGAAGAGGACGACAAAAGATCAAAGTTTATTAAAAACGGATGAATAAAAACAGAACTATTCCAATCTTCTCTTCTTTAAAATGGGTATAAATCCAGTCGGCGCCCGGAGAGCCTCCTCTGTTAGTTAATTAGTTCGTTGTGAAGCGACCATCAGCCAGACGCGCGATAATTACAGCGAGATTAAAATGACAAAGACGCGCCGGCAGACAGGAGACAGCGCGGCTGCTGCTGCTGCTGCTGCACATGTCCTGCGCTCCAATCCAGAGCCCACAAACCCCGCTCATGTGAGGATCCAGCTGGAGTTTGGTGCAGCTCAAGTCAAAAACTGACTGACCCAGATGAACTGCGCTCAGAGGAAAAGGCGCAATGATGCAGAGGGAAAAAAGTCTAAATCTCTGGTCGAAAAGTCTTTAAAATGTTTCGATTCGCGCACAAAGTCCCAGAAATCCTCTGTGCACGTGGATGGAGGAGTGAGCTGCTGCAAACTGCGTCTCCACTGATATTAAAACGGAGCTGGTGTCGGAGCGCACCGCGGAGCTCAAAGTCCTGCCTCCTCTGCGCAGACCGGGACCTCCTCCATGCCTCCAGACTTCTCCCAAAATTCCCAGACCCCCTCTGGTCCGCATCTCCTGCTCGTCCACGCCTCGGTTTGTTGTTTAATAATAACAAGTATCCGTTTCGATTCGTCAGCTCCTGTGTGCTGAAAATTGTGTCTGAGCGAGGAAGAGCGGTCTCTCTTTTGCATCCAGTTGCAGAGTCTCGCGCCTCTACGTTGTGCTTTTAAAAATGAAAAGCAAATATGAGATAAGTAGCCTAATAGAGGGGGTGAAGTTGGTTAAACTGCTGCAAATGAAAATGCTGAACTAAAGACAGTATAAAATGTACTTTGATGCAGAGTTGTTCTTGATTTCAATCACGTTTCCTTTTATCTCGTTTTGACAGAAAATCACTAAGAAGTAAAAGTTTTACTGCAATCAAATAATTCCACGAGGAACCGAAAACAGTTTGATGTCTGACTTTTAAGGACAAGTGTCATTGATCCAGATTATGTTGCAAAAAAGGTTGCTGTTTTGACCTCTTAAATTTTAAAGACAGCATTTGTGATTTAATAGATTATCCTGGTAACATCTGAGGAGTTTGTATGTTTGTGGTAGGGGGGGTCACATTTTCAATAAATTATTCAAATTTTTTCTCCCATCATGAAGTACACAGACACACACCACTTCTCACATCCAGAGAACTCATATGCTCCCAGCTACATGTCAAATCCGTGCTCCATCCTCCCTGATACAATATTTTACAATCTGGGTCAGATGAAGTCTGACCTTTGCTCGTTTCACAAAACACTTTCAACACACTAATCTCAGATGAGACCCTCTTGAAAAAAAACTAGCTAAATCAGCTTAACCGCTCACCACCTACACACTCTGTCCTGTGACTACCTCTGCTGCAGCATCAGGGATGATTCAACGCTGCATCCAGTTGAAAACAGAAATAACCGTTTTATTTGCTTGCATCAGACCCGTCTGAGAAAGATGCTGAAGTACATTTCCTACGAGCACAAGATCCATCTCCAAATGTGGCTGTTTAACGACTGAGAGGCTGCTCATGAAGTTTTAATGACTGGCTGTCAGCTGAGACCACAACAGAAAATACTTTAATACAACGTTACTGAGTTCAATCCAGTTTCTGACTTTATTTTATTCTGTGCGCTCTACACCAAACGTGTACTAAACACAGCATCTAATCAGATTGTGAGTCGTGCTGCAGCTCTAATCCACCCTAACGTTCAGGAGAACACACCTCCTCTTGTTAAAACCCTAAATGTTCCATCACAATAGAAACTCCTCCACATTTCAGCATGATGTCATAAATCTGCAGCCTGGAGTCAACATTAAAGTCGTTTCTGACAGATGAGACAGGCTGCATGACACTGCCTGTGTGTGCGCGTGTGTGTGTGTGTCTGGCCTCTAAAGTGAAGCCCATCAGAAGCTCAGACGGGGAGGAAAAGCGAGTCATCAAAGAAATAATTAGGACCCACCCAGCAGCTTTTAACTGGGCTTCAGCGGGTGCTGGAAACACACACACCACCACAGGCGCGGTCGAGGTGTGTGTATGAAATAGAAACAGATAAAGAGAGGGTGAAAATGTAACCATCTGTGTGTTGAAGAGGGGGAAAGATGTATCAGCATAAGAAATAGTTTACCTTAAAAACATTTAAAACTGTTTAAAATACAAGATTTGTTTAAAAATGCTCAAATTAAATGAAACTAAAAAGGAAAAGGTGCATCCAGGTGTGATTGATGTTGACCACTAGATGGCAACAGAGAGGAAGGGGGTTGACCTGATTTGACCACATCATTAGGAAAGCTCCACTGTTTGAGGCTGCATTCACGCACCTGCTGCAGCTTTAAGGAAGTCCTGACAGCAGATGAACACTTCCACTCAGACGAGGAGTTCTGCAACCTGTGGCTCTTTGGCTCCTCTGAAGTGGCTTCTTACTGAGCAAAAGTAAAATGAACCTGGAGCAAGCCAGTAATCATTTCAGGAACAGAGGAAGCAAAATGTGGTTTTAGATTATTTTTTAACCAAAATGTGTTTTAAGTACAATTTGCCCCCCCAAATCACCAAAGAAATACAACTTTTTCAACATTTAACAGCCAAGCTGCATTCAAAGCTATCATTTTGGACTTTTTATGGAATATTACTAAATTTAAAAGCATCAAAATGTATTACAGTCACATACATAAATGTATTATTATAGTCGTGTACCTTCAGGAATGAAAGCAAATACAAGTTCAGGTTATCTGAGGACTTTTAGGTAATAAATACCCACCAACCTGATGCATACCTTTAATTTTATTGTCTTTCTTAAATACAATAACGTGAAACTTTTTTTGCTTAATCTCAAAACATGTTGTGTAATTTAGTCTATTAAAATGTTTATGTCTGAACTGAAGTTTAGATGGTTATCTCATGGGAAAACAAAAAAGTTGCCTCTTGTTTTTGCCTGGTGCAAATATAAAGAGAGTTATGAAACTCAAAATGGTGTTACCTTCCTTTTAAGGGTCTAGTAGATTTCTATATCTTAGGTGTGTTCTTGCTGTGTATTAGTTCTACTTCCATGCTGTCGTTCTTTTTAAAACACAGAAACGGCTTCGTTACCTGTTTTATCGCTACGTTTCGTCGGCGGCTGCAGGCTTCCTCAGGCTGACGCTGATGTCATTTCCTTCTCCGTTTATCTGCGGGCAGCAGAGGACGTTGTCGCCCTCTACTGCCCACTCTCCCCTCTCAGACGATGCAGTCCCATGCACGGTCCAACGTGTAAACTCCGTCGTCCCTGTTCATGGTCCCACATCCACGTCTCCTTATCTCGATTGCTTCTTTTATCCATCTTTTGTATTTCTGTTGTTCGGTGTTTATGATCCTTGTGTTGTCCCAGTCCATTACATGGTTTTCTCTTGTGCAGTGATCTGTTACGGCTGACTTCTTTATTGTGCTTTCTGCTTTTTCTTTTGCTGCTCTTGTGTGTTTTCGACTTGTTTCTTTCTCGCACTCCTTTCTGTGTTCCATTGTTCGTGTGTTGAGTTGGCGTCTGGTTTCTCCTATGTATGTTTTATTGCAGAGTTTGCATGGGATTTCATAAATGACTCCACATTTAAGTCCGGCTGATATTTTGTTTTTTGGGTGCACTAGTCTGTTTCTAACTATTGTGTATGGTTTTGTTGGTGTGCATCATCGGAGAGGGGAGAGCGGGCAGTAGAGGGCGAAAACGTCCTCTGCTGCCCGCGGATAAACGGAGAAGGAAGTGACGCGCCACCATCAGTGTCAGCCTGAGGAAGTCTGCAGCCGCCGGCGAAACGTAGCGACAAAACAGGTAACGAAGCCGTTTCTGTGTTTTAAAAAGAACGACAGCATGGTAGTAGATTTCTATTTTGAAGGTTTAGATGGAAAGAAAAACTGGCTCACTCAGGCATAAAAGTTGCATAATTTACCGAGGCAAAGCTTCAGAGGCACCACAATCAACTGCTTTAAGGGCTGGACTGAGGCATTTAGAATTTATAAAAATCACAGCTAATGAGGAGGAAATTTGGTAAATGTTACAAAAAGTAAGGAAAAGGCTTGAAATCTTTAACATTTAAACAAGTTGATGGTTTTGGGCCGACAAACTGCAACAAACCAACATAATAATATAATGCATATGAAAATGAATTCCAAATAATCAGTTTGAAGAAAGTAAAATTAATCTTCAGTTCATAAAAATATGCTAGATAAATAAAACACCAGGTTTCCGCCCCCCAGGGCAAAGTCAGACAGAGCAGTTTGATAGCAGGAAACTGACGAAGATTTGGGTTTTATCTTTGCTCTGGCTTGGGCTTCCATCCAGGAACCTCCTGAGGTTGCAGACATGTGAGGTTTCTCCTGCAGCAGCAGCCTCATCACGAGGTTAAAGCCCCCTGCAGCCGGTGGGTCTGGCTCTGGGGGGTGGATGGGGATGAAGGGGTGAGAGGTTAGACACTCAGCTGTCTGCGTTAGGCTCCAGAACTTCTCCAAGAAACCCAGGTTTGAAGATGAAACCAGGAAAATTACATTTAAAACTTTTAATCCTTCTGATCTGACCTGGAGAAAGCCTTTACCGTAAAACATCAAAAATGGCCAATCAAACACTGATCTGGTTGAATGTTAAAAACTGTTTGATAAAAAATGTGCTCTGAGGAAACGGTATGTTGCATTTCTGTACAATCATTGTTGGAAAAACTGTCTCTCTGAAGCTCTGGTGCCTTCAGGAGACAAAAGGTGATAAAATCTCCACAAGACTAATAATCCTGGGGACAAACGTTAGCTAAACTAATTAGCTGAGTGCCAGTTTGTCTGGAAGCTAAACGATCAATTGTTCCCTCTCTTCAGAAACGAAAGGCCTGGCTCAGACGGTGTAGAGGGTGGAGCTACACAATAAAAACTAATTGTGTCTTGTAATTGTTTGTTTTACATCCTCATAAACTGCACTTATTTAGGATATTTCTGAAGTTTTTGTTGTGAATGATTTGTTCTCTTGTCACAGCAAACAAAACACCCAGGAAGCTGAATAGAAAAGTGCAAAGTTTGATATGGTTCAGGATGAAGTGGTTAAGTAATCTTCATGTATTTTTCTGTGTTTGTGTTGAAGCTCTGGGATCTCTCATGTTGCACACTCTCCTATAGCTTTACAAGGCCCTGTTGCAGTGGCGTTGAGCCACAAGTTAATCTCCTGGCAGGTCTTGCTGCTGTCGGACTGAAGCCACATATCTGCAGAGAGAACGTTCTCCAGGAAGGAAGCAAGGAATGCTTCTTTTACAGGTTTCATGGGCCCAGAGGTCATGAAATTCACTCAGCACATAACCGACTTTGTAAAACCTCAGCTCGCATAAGAAAAAAGAAAGCATTGAGATTGCTGTGGTGGGGTGGTGGTGGGGGCTTCCCTTCTTGACTGTACCACATTCAGCTCTCTTCTCCTGAACCACAACACAAACACAAAATCTATCAGATGAAAGGATAGCTACAAATGTTCGCAAAGGAGCATTTGCTGTTTCGTTGAGTTAATTGCCTTCTCCTCCTTACCATATTATTTTGTTTATGACTGATAAGAATCCTAAGCCCGAAGAGGAGACGTGGGTTCCCTTCCATGAGCTCACCACTCATGGGAGGGGCCAAAGGGGTCGGGTGCATTGTGTGTCGAGTTGCAGCCAAAGGCAGGGACCTTAGCGGTGTAATCCTTGGCTACAAAAGCTAGCCTTCGTTATGTGGAATGTCACCTCTCTGGTGGGAAAAGAGCCAGAGTTGGTGTGTGAAGTTGAGAGGTTCCAGCTAAACATAGTTGGACTCACCTCAGCGGATGGCTTTGGCTCCAAAACCTATTTTTTCTCCCGAGGGGTTGGACTTTATACCACTCTGGAGTTGCTCCCACTGAGAGACGGCGAGCAGGGGTGGGCATACTTGTTGCCCCCATCTTGGTGCCTGTATGTTGGGGTTTACCCCAGTGGACCTGCCTACGTGCAGTTTGTGATTACGCACCAAACTGAGTCCCTCGTTCTGTAGGGGGGACTTTAACGCTCACGTTTGCAATGACAGTGTGACCTGGAGAGGTGTGGTTGGGAGGAACAGTCCCCCTGATCTGAATCTGAGTGGTGTTTTGTTATTGGATTGTCCATAATGAACACCATTTTCAGACATAAAGGTGTCCATATGTGTTTTTGGCTCCAGGATACCTTATGCCGCAGAGCGATGACTTTGTTGTCGTTTCATCTAATATGTGGCCACGTGTCTTGGACACTTGAGTGAAGAGAAGGGCGGAGCTGTCAACTGACCACAACCTGGTGGAATGTTGGCTTCGATGGTAGGCCTAAACGCATTGTGAGGGTCTGCTGGGAACGTCTGGTGGAGTCTCCTGTCAGAAAAAGCTTCAATTCCCACCTCCGACAGAATTTCAAACACGTCCTGAGGGAAGTTGGGCACATTGAGTCAGAGATGGACGTTTTCCTTGCTTCCATTGTCGATGTGGCTGACCAGAGCTGTGGTCTGTCGGATTGTCAGACTTCAGATTCAGGAGGAGCAATGGGTTTTTTGTCCTGGCTGTGGAAAACTGGACCAGCTTCATACCATTAGAGGGCTTCTGGAAGGTGCGTGGGAATTCGCCCAACCAATCCATATGTATTTAATCGATTTGGAGAAGGCGTTCAATTGCGTCCCTCGGGGGCCGTGTTAGGGATACTCCAGGAGTATGGTGTATCAGGTCTTTTGATACAGGCTGTTAGGTCCCTGTATGACCGGTGTCAGAGCTTGGTCTACATTGCCGGCAGTAAGTCGAGCTCATTTCAGGTGAAGGTTGGACTCCGCCAAGGCTGCCCTTTATCACCAAATCTGTTCATAACTTTTATGGACTAGATTTCCAGGCGCAACCAAGGTGTGGAGGGCATCAGTTTTGGTGGCCTGAGGATCAAGTTTCTGCTTTTTGCAGATGATGTGGCCCTGTTGGCTTCATCAGAACACGATCTCCGTCTCTCACTGGAGAAGTTTGCAGCCGAGTGTGAAGCAGCTGGGATGAGAATCAGCTCCTCTAAACCTGAGACCATGGTCTTGAATTGGAAAAGGGTAGAATGCCTTCTCCAGGTCAGGGATGAGGTCCTGCCCCAAGTGGAGGAATTTAAGTGGGAGCTGGATGGTGAAGCTCTCAATTTACCAGTCAATCTATGTTTCTACTCTCACCTGTGGTCACGAGCTTTGGGTAGTGACTGAAAGAACAAGATCGCAGATACAAGTGGTCGAAATGAGTTTTCTCCGCAGGGTGGCTGGGTTCTCCCTTAGGGATAGGGTGAGAAGCTCG